TAAAAGAAAAGGAAAGCCAGGGATGGAGCTGCTGAAACACTTGATGGAGTGCAGCTAGATGAGACATTCTGCCTTTAACATAATCTTAATACTGGATTAAAATGATGTATCTTTAAAATAGCAAGTCTAAAAAAAAATATAAAATATCAAGTCTAATCTTAGTGAGAAAGTTCAAATTAGAAGGGAAAAAAAGGCAAAGAAAGCATGAATCTGAAGGCTGCCCATAAAAGAACCACTTACAGTAAATGTAATTATATATTCTGTACATACACAAACCTGTAGTTTCACCACAGGCCCCCTTTAGCATTGTATTCAATTTAGCAGTAGTATGTTCCTCAACCTTATAGTCACAAGAAAAGCCTTTAAGGAAACAATATGGAAGGTCAGTAGTTTTAAGTCGTCTCTCCACGATTCTGGTGGCAGACATAACAGTGCAGCCATCAGGAAAGCCAGGGCAGTGACACGGATGTACCACGGCACACTCAGCATCTGCACATTCCCAGGCAAGACAATGCAGCTCCTGTCTGCAGACTCACTGTAACCAACCAGCATGGCTGTTCTGCTTGTGAGGCTAAATACATCCACATTTTGATTTTGTCAAACTATCTATGGCCTTCAATTAGCAGAATAAGAGGAATATATACTGCCTGAGTTTTTATGATACTGTACAACAGAGAAAAATAATGCATAGAAAAAGATTTAAATTAATTTGTAATGATGTATGACTATCACATAATAAACATACTTCTGTAGAAAAAATTATAAATCTGTAAGAAAATGTGATCAAATTTTGACTCAGGGGAACGTTAATGTCTCCGAAACTTAATTTATCTTGAAAAAATAAAAAAGCAAAAACAAAAAACAAAACAGGTATAACGTGATGTAGTAGTTACCCATCAACTTATTCAAACTAGCTACAAATCCCCCAGAAAATTAGAAGGAATAACCTATATAACAGGTGACTTTGCTTTTGCACTCAAGTTCTCATTAGGAGCTGTAATAAACTTGTTCAACAGAACTCCATCTGGGTATAAAGGATGGAGACAAAAAAATGGGTTGAGCTCCTGGAGTTCAGTTGAAGAGAAGGAGGAGGGATCTTATGAACAAGGGAGGCTTAAGAGCATTATGGGGAAAACCACAGAGACAGCTGACCCGAGCTAGTGGGAGCTACAGACTATGGACTGACAGATGGGAAACCTGCATGGGACTGAACTAGACCCTCTGTGTGTGACAGTTACGTGGCTTGATCTACTGGGGGCAGTGGGACCAGGACTTATCCTGGGTGCAAGAACTGGCTTTTTGGTGACCATTCCCTATGGAGGAAAACTTTGCTCAGCCTTGAGCGGGGTGTGTGCGTGCGTGCGTGCGTGCGTGCGTGCGTGCGTGCGTGCGTTGGTCCAGACTCAATTTAGTATGCCAGACTTTGTTGACTCTCCAAGGAAGGCCTTAACCCCTCTGAGGAGTGGATGGAGGAGGGAGGTGAAGAGAAGGGAGAAGGGAAGAGAGAAGGAACTGAGATTGGTATATAAAATGAAAAAAGAATTTTTTTATTTTTTTTTAGTCTGCCAGGCTGGATCAAACTTTGGGAGGCTGATGCCAGGCAGTTTATTGGCAGCATATTTAAAAGTGGTACAATTTGATAAGTTTCTTGGTGCAATACAAGCCTTGATGCACAGGAAGCATATGTACATCCAAACTCAACTCATGGTACATGACATTTTTTTTTTTTTTTCCAGATAGGCTATCTGTATTAGCTTAAGTACCTAGAGAAGGATTTGGCAAGGTCTCTTTCACCCCTTGAGTTTTTGTTCTTGCTATTCTATTTACCCAAATACGTACACTTCTCCTAACTCCTATTCATGGGCAATGGGGCCCCCCCTGCTCTAGATCTCAGCTTTAAATAGAATTTCCTTTATGCATAGGAGGATTCTCCACATTGAATCTCTCTGCTTGGGTGAGGCTGTGACTTCACTTAACCAATGAGTTGTGACCAAGAGTGACATATGCCACTTCCAGGCTCCAGAGTTTCCTTTTCTTTCTTTTTTTAAAGTTTTTTTTTTTTAATTTTAGAGGCACTCATATTTACATATCCATCCCCCCATTCCCTTGCCCTCCCATCCTCCCATGTTCCCCACCAATGACTGCTATAAGGGAAAAAACAGTGTTAGTGTTAGTGTTAGTCTATTTTCTGTTTCTGTAACAAATAAATGAAACTAGCCTCAAGTTTAAGGTCACTCTGGGCTATAGTGGGAGACCCATCTTTTAAAAGTCAAGAGAGGAAAGAGAAGAGAATCTTATGACAGCCTTGGTGTTTGACATGGTGCTGGGAGGCATCTTAGGAAATGACAAGTGCAAATGTGCTGCTCAGATCTCTCCTCTTCTTCATTCTCACACCTTATTTAACTCTAATTACCCTCAAAGATTCCATTTCCTAATACCATTAACGTGTGACTTTAGTGATTACATTTCTAACGTGTGTACTTTTAGGGAATACATCAGAAGCACAGCAATGTAGGATATGTGCTGTGGATCTGACATCTTTTGTGCCTTCTCTGATAAATTACATATTATCTACATAAGATCTCCCAACCTTTCTAGCTTTTCTAACACAGGGTCTCACTATATGGAATAGGCTGGCCTCAAACTCAGAGAGATCTGCTTGCCTTTGTCTCTCTTGTACTGACATTAAAAGCATGCAACTCATGCCTGACTTTTTTTTTTTTTTTTTTTTTTTTTGGGGGGGATTTTCACATTGTCCCCCAGGCGCCTCAGCTTCTTGAGTAGCTGGGACAGTAGATATATACCACAATGAGTTTTGTTTCTAAGATACTTTGAGTTGATTTAAGAGCTGAAGGACATTAAGAAAAAGGGAAAACAGGGTTACAAAGTATAAAAGAAATAATCTTACTGAAGAAAGGCAAAAATATAGATAAAAATTACTTGGCACTATACTTTAAAATTACAGAAATTATTCCAGATTATTATCCTTGTCTTAAAGAGAACACATTAAGAAATCTGACCTTTGTCTCCTCTGTCCTCACTGCATCCAGCAAATGGTGCAAAAGCTCCTGACTGTCCTGTTGCTGGAACCCTTTAAACCGAGGAGCCCTAGGATTTTGAAACAAAAGCAAGCAAGAAAAAAGGAATAATCATTCCACAGATGACAGTAACACGTCAGTCTTACTTAAGATCACTTTTAAATAAATTAATGGTCAGTTTACCTCTTCCCAAATAAACAGACAAAATGCTCTTCCTGTTCCAGTGCAAATGAGCCCACTGGGCAGGTACTTACCTTCTATTAGGTATGTCACACAGCACTGACAGTTTTCATGCTTTACTCCCTTTCCCCAAATGACCCCACTCTGTTCTCAAGCTGTAAATGAGGGACCTGTTATGGAATAATTTTTTTGTGCATTGTGAAGATGTGTCATTCTGATTGATTTAATAAAGAGCTGAGTGGCCAATAGCTGGGCAGGATTTTCAGTCAATGCTGGAAAGAAGAAGGAAGTGGTCACCAGCCAGGTGGAGAGGAAGCAGCCTGGGCAGTGCAGAGTAAAGCCAATAAATCCACAAGACAAAAAGTAGATGGATTTTAAAAATGGGTTAATTTAAGTTATAAGAGCTAGTCAGTAAGGAGCCTAAACAATTGGCCAAGCTTTTATAATTCTGTGTCATTACTGAGGAGCTGGCAGTCCCATCCAAAGGGTCTGACTACAGGGACCAGAAGGGATATTAAAATAATATGCGATGTCATACAGCCAGAAGGAAAAACAACAATCAAAACCAAGCCTCTGTAATTTATCTTTTTACCTCAAAGAATGAAAAGATTAAAATACAGTCTGTATCTTAATATAAATATCCATTCATCTTTTATCTTAGAAGAAACACAGTCACACACATTTATAGAATGTATCCTAGTATAACTGCACATTGATAAATATGTGCATATATTCCTTCTACAGATTTAATAATTAGATTTCCTGTGTGACTGAATGAGATAGCAAGTGCTACACATAGAGACAATAACAGCAAATATTTACTTGATTTGGTAACTTTTAAAGTCTGCAGAAGAACAGTGCTGGGGCTATCATCATACCCAATTTCAAAAAATTCTACAGAGCCATAGTAACAAAGACAAAATGACAGTGCACAGAAACAGTTATGTAGACCAACAGAAAAGAACAGACAATACAGACACAAAACACACACTTCAACAAAGGTGTCATAGGCTTATGCTGGAAAAAAGACACCCACTCCAGCAAATGGTGCTGAGAAACCTTTGTATCCATGTGGGGAAGAATAAAACTAGATGCCATCCTTCACTCTCTAAAAATCAACACAAGATACATAAAAGACTTTAATGTAACACCTGAAATGAGAAACCACTAAAAGAAAACAGGGGAAACACTCCTAGATAGACATAGGTGTGGAATTTCTGAACAGCTTCTGATAGCTTAGGAAAAAGCAAACACAAGTGAGATTGCATGAAATTAAACTTTCCATGGAAAAGTAATCAAGTCAGTAGCATGAAGAAAAATCCTTGCCATAAACTATTCGGAGAAAAAGAAACCCACAGAAAACAACCCAGCAACATATAGAGAAATGAACACTGAACAGACAGTACTCAGATTGCCAAGAAAATAGGGGACAAGTTCCATACTCTTAGCCACAGGGAAATTCAAATCAAAACTAGATACTGAGGTTGCACCCCAGTCAGATAGCTAACATCATGAAGCCAACAAATACTAGCAAAAATGTGGAAGGAAAAACAGCCCTCATATACTGTTGGTGGGAATGTACAGTGCCACAGGCACTATGGAGATCAATACAGAGGTTCCTCAGGAAACTAAAAGCAAGGAGACCATATGACTCAGCATTTCTTGACTGAACATTTAGGTCAGCACACACAAGTTATGTACACTCACATTCATGCAACACCAGTCACAACAGCCAAGTCACAGTATACAGAATTAGTTTAGGTGTTGTGTCGTCCATCAGTACATAAATGGACAAAGAAAATGCATGCTACATAAGAGACTTTTAAACAAGCATAAAGAAAACCTTGCATCATTTGCAGATAAATAAATGGAACAGATCAAAACATTAAATCAGTTTAGCCAGACTCAGAAAGAATAATTTATGTTTTTCTCAGATGTGGAAATCTCAATAAAACAAAATAAGGTATGAAAGTGAAAGGGGAATATTTGAGAAGAAGCAAGGGGCCAGTGAGGAGGGGTGGGAAATTTGTATAAAACAAACATGATGAAAATGTCATAATGAAATCAACTGTTTGTACAATGAATATAAGCGATTAAAAAATTTTAAAGTCTGTAACAAATTCCAAAGTTAAGATGAATGTTTTGTCTTAAATGAAGGTTAACCCTAGTATGCAGTCTAATCTAAGGTGAATTCTATGAAAAGAACATAGAATAGCATTTAACACAGTACAAAACAAATTTACAATAATTTCACTATGGTGTGTGTGTGTGTATACATACAAATATATGTATATGCATATACAGATATAAAATCTCATTTGATATAAACAGCACTGTTAAAGACTTTGTAAAAATGAACTACATTTTTCTACTTGAGAAGACTGAAAAGGAACAAACTAAATGCCACCAAATACCAATCCAGCTCTTATGACCCAGAATCTAGTACTTTAAATAGTATTCCTCATTATCTCATAATTAGCATCCAACCTACAGTGCACTGATGTGCCTGCCACAAGGCTAAGTGAACCAGCAGTGAAGTTAACGTCGAAGAGGAAACACCGCTTCAGTCTTTTACTAGGTACCTGCAAATAGCTTCCTGTTAGAGAATGGTTGTGGGAGTAGGTCAGAGAAACTCAGCCTAGAAACAAATCCCAAAGTTACTTGAGCCTCCACAGCTGGCATCACAAGACATAGAAATTCCATACTAGACTTGTGCTGTCAATATCAAGTGATGCTAGTGAAATCAACTAGGACAGAAACAGGAATCCTTCTGGAATCTTCCTTCACCAGGTGGTCATCAAGCAGACAGACAGACACAGGGTGGAGATCACTTCTGAACAAAGAATCTGGCTTCCTACACCTCCATCTCGTTCATGTACAGACTGTTTATTGCCTTCTAAATAATCATTGAAAAAAATTAAACTAGGGGTTTTTTTTTTATTATTTTACTGAGAACTGGAAAACATAATCCAATAGCTTATAAGACATTTGAAGGAGCCTATTTGAGGTACCAATATCAAGAGACCTTCAAACTTACTTTTAAAAAAAGTTAACAGATACCGAATGTATGAAGATATGAAGACATTCAGTCTATTTAATAAGAGAAACGCTCATAGGAAATGTGCCTTAATATATTAATTATTTTCTTCACCATAACAATATATGTGACAGGCACACCTGAAGGGAAGGTGTGAGATTTCTGCTTAAATTAGGAGAGAGAGATGAGATATGAGAACAAGAGATACATTAACCATAGCTTACTAGAAGTCGGGAAAGTGAGAGGGAGAGAAATAGAAGGACAGAGAGGAAGAGAGAAGAGAGAGGAAGAGAGAAAGTTAATGGCTGGCTGCCATGGTCAATCGCCAGAGAGAGGAGTGGGGGAGGAGAATAATGTTGTGGGCTTAAAAGAGAGAGCATGTGCATGCCCAGCAGAGTCCCTACACAGTAGCTTCGAACTGCACTGTGCGCACCCCACCCATTGTCAGGGGGGCGGGTCTGTCTCTTAAAGAGGTAGAGCAGGTCAGCATTAATGCCTGAACCTTTCAGTAGGGAGCTTTATTTGAGCTCAGAGTTCCAGAGGGTGCATTCCATCATGGTGGGAGGAAATGGCAACCAGATCAGGTTGGTTGGTGGCAGTAGGGGTGTGTCATGCAGATTATTTACATCTTGGTGGACCAGGGAGCAGAAAGGACACTGGACCGAGACACAGGGCCTGGCTACAATCTTCTTGGCCTCACTAATCATTCACCAAGTCAGCCCTCTATCCCAAAAGTTCCAGAACCCCCCAAACCAGCGCCAGCAGCTGAGGACCATGAGTGTCTGAAGGGCATTTCAGATGGAAACTGTATCTCTTAACAAGAGTGGTGCTGCCTTGAGGCAGAAGTGCTGGAAGGATGGCACAGTGGTTAAAAACAGCCTCTGTTCTCACAGAAGACCAGATTTAAGTTTTCCATACCCACAGTCGCCTGTCACTCCAACACCAGTGATCCAATGTGCTGTTCGTTCTTGCCTCAGAAGGCACTAGCACACGTGTAGTGCACATAAATACACACACACACACACACACACACACACACACACACACACACACACACACACACACACACACACACTCAAGTGGGCTTTTAAAATCTTCAAGACACAGGGGCTGGGGAGGTCGCTTAGCAGTTAAGAGCACTGGCTACTGGACCAGAGAACCCAGATAAATTCCCAATTCTGAGTTGGATTCCTAGAACCCATATAAATGTGTAAGGAGATAATTGGCTTCACAAAGCTGTCTGTGCTATGAGCACACATACATAAACACACACACAATAATAACAACAACAATAGTAGTAGTAGTAGCAGTAATAAAGAGAAAACAAAACACAAGTTCCAAGTGAATTCTACAGACCACAAACATAAAATAGGCAAAGCAAAACACAGCCATGTTGGGCCTGAACGAGCTCAACCTTTAGGGGCTAGAAAAGACTAGAATGAAGCTGTTTAAGAATGGGGGACAGTTCCTTAAACCTTAAAGAAAGGCCCGGGACAATTTCCCCAAAGGCCACAAAAGAACTAAGACAGCCTGAGTACCACCTAAAGCCAAGCCTTTACACCACACACCCAAGTTATGGCCACAATGTAAATGACACATTAGGAAACTTGATCTCCAAGGCCAGCCAGAAGGGTTATGTGAGAGCAACTAAAGATTTAAAGTTAATAAGCAGAGAGTGGAGAACTATGAGGAAGGAAGTGTGGGAGTGGCAGATGAGGCAAGGAGGTGAGGAAGACCTGGGAACAAAAATGAGGAAAAATGAATAAGCAAAAAACAACACCAAGCAAGCCTACGAACTGAGAAATTAAAACGTATGAAAAAGTCTAAAGAAAAAAATAGCAAGAGTATGAATT